TGTGTCTGCACTGCATCCTTACATCAGTTTCCTGTTGCTTAAATTGTCAGAGCTCCATCCTGAGGAATCCTGGGATATGTAGTTCAGAGGCTTCAGTTGCTTGGCCAATTGGCAGCAATTCTGGAACCAAAGTCCAAAATATCTCAAGGCAGGGGTGCGGAGGGCATGGACGTTTAAAATTATTCTACTGGATAGTTTAAATTGTATTATTGGAGTAAAACATATGCATTTTTTATGAGTTTAGAAAATCTTTACATTCTTGTTAAATAAGTATTCACAAGTATCAGACTTTCCTTGCTAGTCTTTTTCCTTCCCATTTAGTTGGCCAATAAAGGTATCACTGTTTGGTGGGTTTTTGTTTGAAATTGCTAAATGGCCAACACAGCTACCCCTGCATGCATCCCAAATACAGTATTTCAAGTCACATAGTTTTAATTCTTTTAGTCTTTAGAAAATCTTTTTTTAATGCATTATGATGTTTAAGATGTTTTCAGCTTACTGGAAAATCAGGATGCAAAGGGATCTTGTAGCACCTTTTGAGAAAGGATTTGTTGCATGAACCTTTGTAGATATGAGTCTACTTTACTCTGACATTATAATGTTTTAATGTTATCTATAAGCCTCCCTGAGATCATTTTGATATCGGTCAGAATATATAAATATTTTAATACTAAATAAATAAATCCAGAGTGGAACTGGATTAAACAACACCCATAAACTACATCCAGAATTAAACTGACTTTAGTGCAGGTGGTTGCAGCATTGGGCTATGACCCTGGAGACCAGAGTTCGAATCTCTGCTGAGGGATGGAAACCCACTGGGAGACCTTGGGCAAGTCACACTCTCTCAGCTTCAGAGAAAGGTAAAGCAAAAACCCCTCTGAGCAAACCTTTCCAAGAAAACCCTATGAAAAGTTCAGCCTAGGGTTGGAAAAGACCTGAAGGCACACAACACCATCCCCAAATTCTCAGTCCCTTTCTTCTCAGAGTGCCTTGGTACTTTCTAGGTACCCTTTGCAAACTACAAACTCCAGGATTCCTCTGGATGCAGTTATGACCATTCAAGAGATGTGAAGCTGATAATAATTGTGTAGCAAAGATGCCGCGCAATAGGCTCAGTCATCCAAAGAAAGAAGTTAACCTGGCACTTGAAGGACTGCGGTTAGAAA